AACGTAGATCCGACTGGAGCAGTGCCGATGAACTGGAGCGGGTTTGTCCTCATCTTCTTGTCTTCTCTTTGTTGTTGGTGGTGACACGTCCTCAAACTCACAGTCGTCGCCCAGTGCGCCGGCGTCGTCTGGCGTGGCGAGTTCATTGTTCTGCTGCTCGGAGATCGGGGTGTCCGTTGGGTAGGACGCAGCCACTGCGACGCATACTAGGGCCAGCATCACCCTCATCATGGCGGCAGGCAAGCTGTGGAGAGACCGGGTACAAAACTTGTTGAATGTGCTCATAATACATTGCTCAGATCACACTAATTAGCCATTGGAAATTTACGGCTACATTTATTTTATTCGTTAAACTATTAACATAGGGCACACGTCGCTAGAATACATGACCCCAAATTTACGTACATTTAAAATTTTAACTAAATATCAACCAGAACACGGCGTAGTACAAGTGTGTCTTGGCTGACGTTTCAGAAAACAGATTAATATGTGTAATTAATTCCAGCTGTTTTCGAATCTGAGTCGGTGTTTTCCCTTTGAAGCCTACTGGTAACTATATGTACCACCTGATTTAATAACAGTCATTTACTCTGTATTTTGTGTTGGTGTGTTTCGCATGATTCTCAAAATAAATATCTACAGCGTTAACCAATCGGTCTTCGTAACGGTGAAGTGCTGTGTTTTCTTTGCGGTACGGACTGAATTCTTAAATATGATTTTTACGAACTTAAATTCAAAAAGTCTGAGTCCGATTCACAGCTTATTCAAAGAAGGTGATCGCTTGAAGGGGCGTCTCATGTCTTGTCATAAAACTGACAAAAGTTCCTTCCTGCTCAAGACGAAGGGTCCACCTGAAATGAGCATTTGCTTGATTTCGATTCTCGAGCGCGAAGTAACTGCAAACGGAATAAACACTCTAAGAGGGAGTTTTCAAAATTAATCAAATTCCACCTGTTATTTTAATCTATTCTCACCGAAACGTTTCAGACTATTCTGTTTAATCGTCTCAAAAATCAGTAATTTTGATTTTAAAACACGCAGTTGGTTGTTATTTTGTAAAATACGTGTAATGACCCTTAACTCGTCTAAATAATATTTAGCATTTCAGTGCGTACTTAAAAAAACTCATAAGTGCATTGCGTGGGCTGAGTGCAGAGCTGTGGTAAGCGGAATTACCACTGGCCTTTGAACCGATGAACATAAACTGCTAACAGTAACTTAAAACTTGCAAAGAAAATACACAATTTTTTTACAGAGCATCGCTGTTTATTGAGAGGCATCCTTTTCGAATCTTCGGACAGATATTTCTAGGTTGTTCACAGTATTTCCGGGCAAATCAATAGTACCTGGGCATGTTTTACAACTGACCCCCGACCGCACAGCTCATAATGGTCCCGTATCGCCGCGTAACCAGTGCGTTTGTCAACCGCCTCCACTTTCAGCGATGTCTGCTCGTGGTTGTACTCAGTACAGTCACGCCTCGTTGTCGCCCTCACTTCGGAATCAAAAATAAACGTGCTCGAAGTTTGTCCGGTTCTTTTTTGTTTTGACGTTGGTCCGATAGTTAAGACGCTAGATCAGGGAGTTGGCGGAACTTCGCGCTACGTCGTGACGCTCATTAACATGTAGATGGAGCTGTTTTCCAAACAGAATTGGCTGATCGCTTGAGAGTAACCTCCGGAAATTGAAATTATGGTAATGGTCGGCTTCCAGAGATTATAAGAACGTTAATGCCTTGTTTGCGGTGAAAATTCGGTGTCATATTTTTTGTTTAAGGTCGTATAAATTTCGCTTCTTGTTCTGTGCAGACGTTGGCTTTATTTATGTTTCTCCCTCCACTGTGGCTCTGGAGTTCTCGAAGAACGTGGGACGAGTCATGTAGTCGAGGTTTTGGCGACCATTTTTCGACGCTTGGATGGGGGATCAGCCCCGTCGCAAGGCCTTTACCTCCACAAGAGGGCACAACTCAAATTTTGCATTCGTAATGAATGAAGTTTATACATCGTAATTTACGCTGTTCACCGAGTATTATTTAGGTGATGAAATCAAGGACACTTGGATGGGTTGGGCATGTAGCACTGGTGGGGAATACGAGACTGAATGACAACGTTGAAGTTGCTGTTTCCGCGACAGGTCCACGTAAAAGAAGATGAATGTCGCCTCGGCATGGACCAGCGCAAGTGTCGAAGACTGAGTAGGCGACAGGTGGAGGGCAAAGATCGAACCTCAGTTGTCACGCACTTTTATCTGGAAGTTGAAGCTCGGTTAAGACGAATAAAATTTTAAAGCGTGTCAGATCGGACGAGATTAAAGGCGGATGTACACGGAAGGAAATATATAAGTAAACAGATGAAGTGTGTCGAGCGTTTGTAATTTCAGTAACAGAAGCTACCAAATCTGCGCGTGGCTCGTCTTTTCGTGTCGGAATCCGGAGGTCGTAGATCTCTGCAGGGAGGTTAGAGAGGGGAGGTCCAGCAGACGGGACAGAACGGAGACAGTTTTGAGGAAAGCGAAGAAGTTCGGATATTTGGGGACTGCGGCTAACACGAGAATTGTGTTGACGAGGGAGTTTTAAGCGCAGATTAAATTCGTGGATTACTCGTTAGCATTGAGTTCAGTCTCCCTGTCTCTTGTGTTCAAAATACAGAGAACTGTAATGTTGTTATTTAATGCAGGTGTGTGATTTATTGACTGGATGAGCGAATATCAGCTTTCGAAGAAGGACGCATTTAATCTGTTGTGACGTTTTGCAGGTCGGTCGTCCTTCGCCGCCACGAAATGCTCTGATGTATCGCAGGGCTGGCGAACCGTATTAATATTTGAAGGTGACGCGGAAGGGGGGGGGGACTCCGGATGGTAGTGACGTGTTAATGTGGGCTGCCTTTCCCAGTGAACGGAGCGTCGCGTTAACAAAATAATGGTCGCCGGAGGTTAATTAAGGAAGTTGATATTAGTCGGGGCGAGCGATCGGGTTACGGACGTGTGTTATCTAAGGATGATGATCCTATTATACACTCTCGAGGAGAAACTTCTTGGAGTTCGCGTGTTTATCTTTTCTCTTCTCAGAATTTATAATCGCTGTTAAGATTTCGCCGCTTCTCACTCTGTAGGCTGTTGTGTTACTTTCTTGTGTGCCTCTGTGTGTAATTCCCCCCCCCCCCTATTTCGTGAAAGTGTGAACTGAATTAAAAAGGTTCTGTGTGCCGTCAGTGGCGGTCTCTTGTGTGAAGGGTAATTATTCTCGTGGTTCAATAAAATAACGGGTATGTTTTGGCCAGCTGAGCGAATTCCAGGCATCGAAGCGTGGAGTCGCAAAGTTAGATGTTTCCAAGCGTGTGGCTTGTGCATTCGAATAGCCTAGCGTCGGAAAGAATTGTCAGGTGTTGGAGGCAACTCATTTGAAACGTCGATGAGTTCGTACCAGACTACTTGACGCAACCTCCCAGATGACAGCCATCTTTATCGCATTAACTCTTATTCCGTGTCCAATAAAATGAAGTAAATCATCGCAGCCAGTTGATAGGTAAACTTCGGAGAGGAATTTCAATTGTCAGGTAGAACTGCAACGAACCGGCAACCTTCCGAAAGAAATTAGTTCCGCCGTGTAAGTCACCCCCGCGTTCATCGCCGATGTCACCACTCTCGGCTGCGTATCTGCAGCGAAAGTTCTGTCGAGGTGCTTGGATTCAGCAGGCTTGCATCAGAGTAGTTCTTCTGTGTGGGAGAATCCAAAAACTGGACCG